TTTTTTCACAGGTGTCCAGTGGGAGCGTGTCAGAAGGTTACAGCAACAAACACTACAAAAAACGATGGGAGCACAAAGTATAGGAAAGGTGAGCGAGTCACAAAAAAATAAGCATGAATAAAGACATTGCTTGTATCGGTACAAATTGCTAAAGTACATCCATTCCTGCGGATTTTTCAACAATAAATGCAAGCTTGGGCAAGGCAGCAAAATAAAAAATAAAAAAATAAGAACAATTCTCAGACCACAGCAAGACAACACACAGCAGTCCCTCAATAAAATTGCACACTAAAATTGAACGATCGATACACAGGTAAGGATCAAGTCGAGCCTTCAACACTGCCCGTGGCCTCATGAGTGCATTTAGCCTGGCACAAGCGCTGCGGTGATGTAAAATGGTGAATTATTTTTGTGTACGTTAATGTGAATGATGGTGCAGTGGTTGGCGCAGTGGTTAGCGCACCGCACTCTGAACCCGGCTGCGACCCGAGTTAAATTCTCCCTCAGAGGCAAAATTGGCGATGAATATCTGAACCTGTCCTGGGTTCTCCTAAGTCGACTCAGCCTTAAATGAGTAACTGATACGGTGTCTAAACATCAGGCATGGTGCTAGCCACGCCACTCCCTCGTGTGCCGGTCTGGCCTTAGGGATACAATTTTCATAAAAGATTGCTGTAATGTGAATCGCGAAATTTTCATGATAAATTCGTTATATCAACGGATGCCTCTTCATTTACAAAATGTGCTATTCAGGCTCATTGTAATGACATTACGTGAATACATACGTTGATGTAAACCCCATAATTTAGCCTAACAGACTGCCTGGGCAAATGCTCTTAAGACGGCACCTATAAAGGACCACATGACACATTTGTCGTCTCACTTCAGATAGCAATCTTCACTTGCATGAACAGAAATCCAGCGCAAACCCAAAGCGATTATAGCTCAGCGCACGAACCACAAAGGCACCCTCCATCACGAACACAAAGATCCCCCCCAAATAGCCCTGAACATACTTTTGGTGCAAGCTCTGTGAAGCGAGCACCTATTAAGGTCGGCATGAAACACGAGGGGGGTTGGATGGCCAGCACCGTGCCCTCCAAACCTTTGTCTCCCCAGTGCTGATGTTTATACGCCACACCATGTACTAATTTAAGGCCAATTCAACCTCGAGGAGGCCCACTATCAGTTGAGATATTCATCGTTGGTTGTGGTTATGAGTGGGAACCGAACTCGGGTCGCCGGTTTTATAGCACAGCGTGCTAAACACTACACGACATCAGACAAAGATCACCCGTACAGCCTTAACACATTATTGGGGCAAGTGCTGTTTGCAAGCACCTGTGAAGGTTGGCACGGCACACGAGGGGGTGTGGGTGGCCAGCACCGTGTCCGGCCGCCTTTGTCTCCTGAGTTGTGACGTTTACGCACCGCACCAAATACTCTTTAGAGGCTCAGTCGATTGAGGGGAGTCCCAGGACCGGTTGAAAAAAATCGTCACTGTTGTTGGCCAATGGCGGGAATCGAACTCGGGCCACCGAGTTTGTAGCGTAGCACACTAACCGTTACACTACCACTCCCCAATGAGGAAGTGCACACACTCTCACACACATATAAATATCCACGCATAAGCCCTGACATACACACACACGATGAAAAATACATATTTTCACAGCGTTTGAAGTATTTTCCCCACGTAATGATATTACTCTTTATATTTAAATAATTCTATAAAAAAAGTTCACCTTTAATATGTAATCATGCATGTGTTAATGCATTATTAGTATTTCAATAACTTGTTTAAATTATTATTATTCAACACTCAAGGCGAACTGTGCCGAGACCTTTACGCTAGTCTGGTTCCGCTGGCATATCACTGGAGGTGATACATATTTAAAACGTTCTACAATTGTTATATACATATATAACTACTGTGTATAAATTAAACATGTTCATGGAATATAACTGCCATAAATTTCGTGTTGGGGGGGGGGGAGTTCAGATATCGCTGATTTATCATTATTCATGGGAATTGCCATGGAGCACCTGTTGAAGTTTTAAAATATTTTTTTGTTTTTTCCCTCTTCCAAATGAGGTGGTCCTGCATTAACCTCCTCATTGGCATTCTAAATATGAACTACAAACAGATGGAGGCATGAGGCAGACGGTGACATGCCCAGCCCACAGACAACAGGCAACTGTATAATAAGCAAGAAGCAGATGGAGAGACAGACAAACGTGGCCAAAATTGGTCAACCAACATCCTGCGGAGCCCAGCCTCGCAGTTCTAGCTGAGATTGTGGCTCTGAGCATCAAAGTATTACTACTGCGGCTGTATGCAGTGACTTGCATTTTAACTGTCAACTTGTAACATAGCTAGTTGGTAACCTTCAGTTGTGCCACTCTTGAAACTGGCTGAGTCTAAAGCATTACATTTTTTTTACTGTAATATTCTGAAAGTTGATGTAGTCTGTCTGTCTGTGCTCTATTACGTCATTATAAATATTGCGATCATATACTGTTCATGTTCCATTACTTCTTTATATAAATCAAACATAAACGTTGCATCGTAATAACATGTGAGCCCGAATGTGTAACATCCAGCATGTCTGTTGCCATTCTGGTGACAATGGCAACGTGTTAATATGGATAAATATCCTTTATTTATTCAGGAAATCCTCAGGAATTGCTAGACCTGAATCGGCGTTTTCTGAGGTCTCATCTATTAGAGGGGGGGTCCTTGCCTATAACCATCAATCAGTTAACCGGCATTGGTTTGAGCAAGTTCAAAATCCAAGTTTCAAGTTTATTTAATTTAACCAGGCGAGAACAAGCAACTCGGACTTTGTCCTGGTTGGGTGACTTTTGACTAAGTTTCGAATTTGTCAAATTTGGACTGTTGATGTTGCATAGTGTTATTATGGCTAATACACCGGCAGTAATAATAATGTTAATTTGTAACGCGCACAATTTACACTTGCCCAAAGAGAGCGACCCTCAGGTCGGCCACTGGATTCCAACCATGAACATCTGCCACAGGTGGTGAACGCGTAACCACTGGGCCATGTCACTGCCCAAGCAAGCCTGACTCTGCTCATGGAACAATGAATGTCAAAACCGGTCCAGAGTTCGCTTGTGTTGAACCAATGCTGCATGTAAGATGCACTCCCAGAAGGCCGATGGGTTTACGTAAAAAAAAGCACTTCATGTTCCATATGGAGAGACAAAATTATGGGAAGGAAGGAGGCATTATTTATTTGGCTAAAAACCATATCCACAATGATGTTTAATTATTACGTCGTGGTATACGTTGTGTGTGGGAGGAGGAAATCAGAGGCTTCTAAGAAAACAGGTCGCAAACCCCCCTGCTGTACTGCCATTTTCTGACCACCTTACAACCCAATAGGTTGGGAGTTTGACAGCACCAGAATGAAATGTGTATTTTCCACAAAAAACCCTATCTCCAAAGTGTTAGATTACAGCCATGCATCACGTGGCAGTGGTGTTGGTGTATCACCAAGAGATGGGGGTCACGATATCAGTGTGACACCCATCTGCTGGTTGATGAGGTGATACATTGAACGGACAGCGTGTAGAGTTCTGACTTGTCTGCAATTGGAGTGTGAGCTTCTCAGCTGTGCAGGTCGTTACAGGTTCCGAGATTACCAATCACGGGGATAAAAACAAGATTCGTAAGCCTCAGAGACTCATTCATTTGTAAAAAAGAAAAACATACCTACTCGTATGAAGGTAAAGATGCAGCCTTGCAATTGTATGCTTAAGTACCTTCTGCTGACAAAATGGACTCCACGCGAAGGAGCTCTTTAGATCCGCACGGTATTCCGAAAAAGATAGATACACAAAGAGATTCCTGATATGATACCGAGAAAAATATCTCCGCTCATACGGTGCTGTAATTACGGTACTTCCTCGTTTGACGAGGTAGATGCATACCTGAAAAGTGCCGCATTCAGCGAAAATGCGTTAAGGCGAGCAATTACTTGTATATGCGTATATACATTCCAGGCCATAAATAAATGACACATTGCACGATAAAATCAGCCTGGAGTCATCCCATGGCGGGATGACTATAACGGCGTTGTGCACAAAGTGCTCCCGAACAGAAGAGCCGTGCTACAGCGAAAGACGCGCAAGCGTGAACATGCGTTAAGTGAGGACTTTACCGCAAAGCACTCATCTCGGAACCGGAAGGAAGCGGATTCAGATTTTGATTGGTTGACTCAGCCCATAATCACCTCGAGGGCTGAAAACAAGCATCACGTTGCGGGGAGCCAACAGTCACGTGTGGTAGGTCACGTGCGGTGGGACAGAGTGTGGTGGGTACTCCCACCTCTGGAGGGGCTCTGTGGCTCCCTCTAGTGGAGGGCCTTCTGCCAGCAGTGGCACAATCAAGAAATTGTAGGGCTATACCTTAACATTTTTAGATATACAGAGGCTACAAGAATGCTGCCTTGCAAGATTTTAAAGATGGTTTAAAAAGTGCAAAATAAAAAAAGACAATGATCTTAACAAGCTCGCACCTGGCTAGAGAAATAAATTGCAATAATGCATTGCAATTGCGCTGACTGCATGCTCTAATGTTTATTACTACTATTATTATTCAAGAGCCCATACAGAACGTGAACATCGGAGAGGGACTGGCCGAAGGTGCCTGGGCACACTGCTGTAGGGGCAACGATAGGAGACAGAATTTTTTTAAAGGGAGGTGGAGAGGAGGGGAGAAGGGAGGGGTGGGGGAGGGAGAGAGAGAGAGAAATTGTAACCAAAGATAACCAAAAATAAAATGACGAACACAGCGCCGAGTGAGTCTGTGGCTCTCATGGTTTTAGTGGACTGATTGAGTGTCTCGATGAAACGGTGTGTCTGCATGTGTGTTGAACTTCTTTCGCACCTCATGTAGCCAACCGTGCTAATTGTAAGTGCAGGAGGTAGAACAATAAGATACAGCGACGCTGTGAAGTTGCCACAAGGGGCCTTACCAGTTGGCGTCGACCGTCTCGAACATCTTGCCCTCGACGGGGATTTGACTGCGAATGTCGGCCGAGCCGAATATGGGCTCCAGGTAGAGCCAGGCCGCCTGCACCCTCAGCCAGGACTCCAGGATGTCATTCAGCAGCCGCTGCACACAGGGGAAACATTTAAAAAGGGGGCTTAACGCTCAACTGTTTCACAGCCTACCCCCCCCCCCTCCCCCATGCCTCCGGTTAACACGGTTGGCTATGTACGGCACGAAATAAGTTCAACATACATGATTTATCATTGATATCTGGATTAGGCCACGGGACGTGGCCAAATTTTTCTCAAGTTAACCTCCATTACCTGACATAGCAAAACATATATATGTGTCACGTGTACAAGCATTTCATGCACCAATAATTATTGTTTCAGCTCACTGGTAAATTGAAAAGCGATTCCCACAACCAAATTTAGCAAAGAGATACAAGTGGTTGATAGATATTTGGGTTGTGAGAATTGTTCTTCAATTGACTGGTGAGCTGAAACAAAAAAAGTATCTGCCCACGACACGTTTCTACACGGGGACAATTAAATGTCTTTAGCTGCGTTGGGTTAACATCACAGAATTTGGTCAGGTCACCACGTGGCCTTACCCAAGAATCAATTATTCATTTCAAGAGGCTGCAAAGGCAGAGTAATAGGAGCACATTTTCACACACCGCTCATGATCCAATCTATTAGAGTTAACAAGGTAGGAAAAAATTATATAACTTACAGCCCTTTGTAAGTTACAAAGCAACTTCTGGTTAAAGGCATCCCCACACTTTCAGTCATGGGGCTTGTTTGAATATACTTCACGATGCATGCTGGTGAATGTTGGGGCCCGAGGAACGGTTTAGATACCACTCACCACCCACCATAGCCAGTACAATGACTCAGGTCCTGGGTTCATATCTTCCACTCTCTAATTGCTGCCTCAAAAATAAACTGCTTTCACAAATATGTTTTGACAATCCACAGTTAAGCATTTGCAAACCATCTGCAGTACAGCCTCAATAAATCAACATGGTTTAGTTAACATGCATTTGAAGTAATATATTTTTACAAAATTCATAACTTCGAATTTCAACCCAACAGTTAATACGATTAAGAAAACAATTTTTGTTTTACTTATCTTTCAAAGAAAGTCTACAATTTTATTCCTGATTAAAAATAAAATTGAACATCAATACCTAATTTTATTATTCTTATAAAAACATTGTACGTAACAGAAGCAAGAAGTCATCACTGCCAGTGCTGTTAATGTCTATATCTTTCCATCGCTTCCTTCCATCCGCCAGATTATGTAATCGTGGCCCAGTTTAACACGTGACTTTTAAGGCTTGCTCTCACAGTACCACACACAGTATCTGCTGCAGGTCTTTACACCTGGTGGCAAACCTCTGGGTTGCTACTCTAATGTCTGTCCTATGCACATGTGCCCCAACCATCACAACCTTGTTTTCCTGAATTTCCAATTTGCTTATCTTATCTTGGCAATAAATTCGCAACATCTACCACAGAAGTCAGCCGGTTCAATTTCTTCGTGCGGCATTTGAAAAAAAGTAGGCAATTGTATTAAATCCCCCCATCTCTAACCAACCAGAAGTACAAACGGGTACACAATAATTGATCGACAGGTCAGAGGTGGGAGGGGAAAGTGTGGGTACATCGTGGAAGACCAAACCAAAACATATCCTCAAGACGGGCTTTCTAGAGCTCTCTCTCTCTCTCAAAGGAGGTTCTTCTGCAGCAGTAATGTCAACAATTAAACGCAGGGCTGTACCTTTACCTTTCACCACGTCTATCTACAATTAAAGGGCAGAAGGTAGTTTTCTGAATTCTTTGTTAAAGTTCAGGTCTCTCTCACCTCATACAGTATCATATATCAGTCCTGCCTCACACCTCCGACTCTCAACCAGTGCACCTCCACGTGCGTTCTTACTTTAATAAATGTAAAATCAATGACGCTGTTAGGTAAAGCAATAACATATTAATGTATGTATCTTGTTCCAAATGAATTAAAACGGGACCAATTGGGAAGTATCAGGGGGTGTAATAAGAAACAGCCGATGCACATTTGAGCAGGCCCTTGACGCTGTTGACCTGTCCCTGACCCCACCACACATTACCGCAAAACACTTTTAATGAGCATTTTGCGAACCAGATGTGGCCATTTCTGGGGGTGGTATTGGTAAGGCGGTCACGGTATTGAGCTACATGTTGGGAGCAAGCACCACCCTTCAGTCGAAATAATTCCACCGCGTGTGGCCATATGAACGTACGTAAGTGTTTTGTTCGAACCGTGGTTGGCTGACATGAATGCAGAGGCCTGCAACGCGAAGCGAGCACTAAAACGAGAGCATAGCAGACAAGAACTAACACATTTCTCGAATCGAGGGGGGTTAGAGGTACTGGGGAAGAGAGAGACGATGGGAGAGAATTCCATAATTGAGAAATTGGAATGGAGGAGGAAGACAAATGTTGTGTCCTGCCCGAGGGTGGATTAACACAGCGCTGATGAGAAGACAACAGCCAGTTGGATAGAACGAATCCCAGACACTGATTGGCGGGCGTCGAGGCGTTGATATACTGGAGAATTAATGGTAGTAGCACGACAGGAACACTGTGTGAGCGACTGAACTATAGTGACTGGAGGCAATCAGAGTCAGAAAATCAATCAACCAAACTGGTTTATGTTGAATTCTTTCACTCAGTGCTCAAGTACAAGGAATAGGTAAGTATGGAAAGGAACATCAAGCTTATTTGATGCCCTTTTCAGTCAGATTTGCAATGTAGCCACTTCTTGACAGGACAAAGATAAAATGGTCATGCCAGAAAAATGAATGGATTCACGATGGGCAAGAGTAACATTTGTTAAATGTGATTGGAGGAACCCTTTGTAATGTGTGCATGAAGAGTGACGATGTGGTTGGAATGCTCAACGCACAATCAGAAGGTTGCAAGTTCAAACACAGGTCCAGCGTCGACTGACCTTACAATCCCTCTGTGGTCAAAACTAAGGAGAAACTCTCTTGAGGAAGTCATCAGTGGTCATAATTTGGAGGTGCTGTGGCCCTTGCCATAGGGATATTGGATTTCCACAGTTGGATCAGGGCCACCAACACAACTGAGCTACCACACAGGGTCTTGCTATGCCTTGGTCTTCAGATACTATGTGCATTTAAATTCTTATGACTCTTAAATGCTTGACTTGTCACGTCCTGCTGTTTGTCGTTTCTCAAGTGTAATCCCCGGGGTCTTCAATAAACAAACAAAAAACTCGCCACGCATTTGAAAGGCTCCGACCTGTTCTCGAGTTCAAGTCCTGGCTCCAAACTTAGCGCCGACCCCACCCCCCCCCCCGGGCATGAGTCATTCTCTCACCCCCACGATCTCTTAATTTGCACCTGGACGAGTGTCACAATCCCTTCCATTGCTGTGCACCCCCCCCCACGACCCTCCCCTGAAAATAGCCTCTGAGAGAGAAAAAAAATCCCTCACCTTTCCTTGCCACCCAAAAAAATACGATTGTCTCCCATATTTGTACGCCATCTTGAGATGCTGTCACATTTAGAATGTCTTTAATGATAAACAATGGTAATGTTATTTATAAAGTTTACTATCTTTATACTGTATATATCTAAGTCATTGGTAAAAAAAAATAACTCAACGCAACTCAACGCATTGATCTGTCTGCTATAAATAAGAGCCACTGCCTATGCCAGTGCCTATCATATATACATATAAACATGTTATCCTCTTCATGGCTGCGTTTATTTTTTTTGCAAAGTTAAAGCACATTGGGCAATGTTCATTTTCAATGGCGATTTGGTTACACAATATAAACCTAGTTACGGGAAAAAAAATAACACACGAACCACCAACTTGTACTGTACATGGTCACGTTCCGAATGGCATGGTTGTGCATCGACGTGGTACAACCAGCACAGGAATACAAGGCTAAGCAGAACGCATCTCATAAACAACAAAACTGGGTGCAAAACGGCACTAAAGTCGATGAGATTGTAATTGTTTGTATATATATAAAACTTAAAGTCTGCAAAGCAGAGAGGATCAATTGCACGTAAACTTGAAAGCAAATCTGAGATCCAACAGCGATTGAAAGTAGGACTAGGATGGTGAGGTGTTGCTCAGGAACAGGAGGATTCCTCCACAAATTTGGCTGTCGCCTGATGATGCTAGCAGTAATTACCGGCGAAACGTCGTACAAAAAAATGTAAATGTTGTGGATTTACTCTCCAACACACCGGTGTACTGTACTATCAACGAATTGGCATGTTCTGTTTACGCGACAAACATTACTAATCGGCTGTGTTGGCTGGTGGCGGGTTTAACGACATTAAATTTATGCTATGTAACCCAACAAAAAACTCTATTATGGATAGAATTGGTGGCAAAAGCCTCCTACGTGTTAAACTAAGGCGTTGATCCCGAACAGTTTTCGTTCGGTTATTCCAGGGGTTGGGGCCTACCACCATTGTCTCTGTGCTGTTCGCCTTTGGGCGTCCTCTGGTCTAACACCGTTGGAAACTCGGCTCTAAAGAAAGCTGTCCCTGGTGTGGACCAATCAGTTTCAAAGTCATGTTCACCACAAGTATGTGTGGTTAATGCAGGCAGGATTCCTTGCAAAAGGTTTCAGTTTGGTGTTTTAACATTTTTAACACAAACTGTTTTATTGCCAGAAAGTGTAAAACCTATTCTTATAATTTAAAACGAGTTTGGTTCTCGCATGGGGAGGGGTATTGAGCAGCAAGATGGAGGAGCTTATAATAATTGGGGGATTTGCCTGGGGGTGAAATCATCCAGATGATATTTAGCAGACTTATTTTGTAACAGTTTGAGGATAAAGATAACTCAATGCCGTTCCCCGCGTAGATCAAGGGGGACTGAATATGGTGTTTAAATGAAGTTCACAGCAATGGGTTTGTATTTGAGTAGCTTTTCGAAGATGTTGATCAAAGGAGGAATACGTTCGAAATCGGTCCTGTATGAAGAATTTTCCATTCCTCATGCACTTAATATTCCCACGTAGAGAGGTTTCAAATGTGGAAGATGGGTCCAGCAATAAGGTTTCTACACAATGAAGGGCAAAGGAAAGGAGATCATCGGTGCTATCCGAGGATGACGTTTTTGATGTAGATAGCATGTCAGCGAAATCCAAGGCACACATTGGTTTCAAATCAAATACTGCACAGGGGGTCTTGTGAGACTTGTAATATTGATGTCAGAGGGTCGGGGGGGGGGGGTTGGTCTGAAGGTTTTGCTCAAGATATGGCCTACAGAGACGGTGGGAGTTGAAACTATTTATGACGTCGGTCGCATCCGAGGATATTCGGACACAGATTGGTGATTTACATTTGAAGTCGGTACATTTTCTCAGAAAGACACCAGATATTTCCACGTAGTATGCCTAGACTGGATCTATTTGTGAAGTGATCAGCACAGGCCGACCATTTCGCACCACGGTTGTATTCCTTGCCTCATGAGAAGAAGGATTAGCAGCCTACTGGCACACTTCGGAGAAAATGGAGAGTTACATTTAGTTCGTTGTTGTTTTGGTGTCACAGGCTCGGGGGCGTTGCAAGTGGAGATGCTGGTATAGCAACAGAACACGTATGTGTGTTGAGTTTATATTGTATGTGATTGTGTACAACTGCCAAGGAGTTCGAGCAATTGTTTTGCTCGAACTCATTGGCTTGTTATGATAATGTCTTTATGCTTTCCCTTTCCCAGGAGTTCACCGCCCTCCAAATCCACGTATTGAGCCTGAACACAATAATTCCCATGTAAGCTGATGAGATCAGAGTAGGCTCCTGGGAGGATAACACGACGCACTGATGGGGGCCAGAATGAGACAAGGCGACGAAAGGAGGTCCAGTGTGTACGCGTTCTGGTCTGCCGATAGTTGAGCATTAACATCTTCCCAGCATTCTTGATTTAAAACGTACACAATTACGATGACTAGTCAGCGTCTGTTTATTTGTACACGGTAGATATTTAATTATTTTACATTACGTGGGATCAGGCAGAAGACGGCTTGTGTAGCTTGGTGCCTCTACGCTGCCCCGGGAGGTGGCTATTCCACATGACATGTGACACTGAACCTCCCAGAATTCAATATGAACACAGACGATGTCAAATGAACGCACGTAGAGGCACTGAAAGGAGCTCACTTTATCTCCTCTCGCGAATATCTCCATTGGAGAGATGAGGCGAGAGAAGAAGAAACAACAGTTAATTTCACGACCGTAACACCATTAATCTCATGGACGACCCGAGCAACTTGGTACGGCAGACATCCACACTGTACTGGATATAACGCGATGGGGTGCCGTCCGTTCTGCGATGGAGTCGATCGGAGGCGGACTTTTACGTCTGCTCCATCTCTCTCGTGGATGTCCATGGGAGAGCTGAAGTATGAAAGCTACCCGTGCCCGAGTGACATAGCTCTCAACGCATGTGATCATTATTTTATATGATACGCTACATGTTGCGAATATCACAAGGACACCCATGCATGCCCCCACCTCCCCCCCTGCAAAGCTGCAACACTAGTTAATGTTTAATCTTTCCCTTCTATCTCTCGGGTGAATATTGCAGCAGCGTTGATACGAACGATCTCCCTTGCTCAAGAAACACCTTGCTTGAGCTTAAGCGATAACACCGGATTATATTTGCATTATCTTTGACGCCGGGATGCTCTGCGTCTTGTGCGTGGGGCACAGGGGCCTTCGCTGACAGCTCGCAGGTCAAGGGGTCAGCTTTCGAAAGCACAGCAAGCGTCTGTGACACGGCAGGGGCACAACGTCGTCCTCTTTTCACGGCTCACGGTCACGTGAAGCTCTAATTTTACATTGAGGCGGTTGGTTGAGCCCAAATAAGTGAGTGGAAGATGGCAGCCTTCGGAAGGTGGCGCCGTGGTGGCAGAGATGTTAACTCCTTCGTCTGGTATTCAGGAGGTCGTGGGTTCGATCCCGAACCTGACGTGGGTTCGATCACGACCCACAAAGCGGCGCTTATTTTAATCAACGCTTGAGATATGATGGGCTGTTGTTTGAACTCGTTCTTCTAGTGTAGTGCTCTGCCAAAACACGACCCGGAAAGCTTACATATCTACATGTAAAAACATAAACACATGTGAAAATCATATTCTATTCTATTTCGGATTTATATGGTGCCCTTTCCAGGGCGCTTTAAATACATATTAAACACGTTAAAGTCGTGCAATTGCTTGCCCATGCCATTGCTGGCAGAAGGGCTTCCTCCATGCTGAGCAGATATCTTGAAAGTGGTGAAAGTACCCAGAACTTTGCTCCACCACTCGCAACCTGCTGAGAAATTAACTGTAGGCGGCTTATGAAATGTGTCTATTATATCAACTGCCGTGTTTGGAGACACAGCATGCACGTGTGTGTGTGTGTATATATATTATAATTCACACTTTATATCTGTAAGCACTCCAATGACTTTTTCTTTTTTTACTGCTGCTACAATTCTAATAAAAACAGTGCGTCATAATTGCTACTTTTAAATTGAGCCAAGTCATTACCTCTGCTACACTACAGCTATTAGGCATGAATGGCGCATCAAGGTTCCTTTTTTTTATTTGAGAGAAGATGGATTTGAAAATGCGATGGCCTCACCAACTTGGCCTCCCATGCTGTCAGTTCCTTCTCAAATGGAGCGATGAACGGGGATCCTTTGATTGTCGTCGTCTTCACCATGTGATCATCCAGCAACACCTGCAGAGAAGCACATAGAACAGAGCATTGTGAACAGGATCTTAACTCAAATGCCACAAACCCATCTTGATGTTCTTGTGTGTGTGTGTGCGATTGTGAGGAGAGCTTTAGCAAAGTGGTTATTGCATTGTGCTCCAATCTCGACCATCTCAATTTGAATTCCACCCAGCATTAAATAACTACCCGGTGAAGTGTGTAAACATCAGCATTGGGGAGACAAAGTTGGTGGGGAATGGTGATACCCACACCACCGCTTTCGTTTGTATTGCTGGCCTTAATAGGTACTTACTAAAAGCACATTCTCCAACAGTCTTTGTCTATACATATCTGAGTGTGAGTATGAGTAGGCCTATGATTATGCATGGTGATTGCCTATAATACAGTTCCTGTCATCAGGCTTCAATTTCAGTCCGTGTGCATAAGTAGCTATTGGTATCTGAAGCGTAAAGCCTTCTTTACACGAAACCAATTTTGCTGAGAGTCAACAGTTTGATTCTCAAAGCGAGCAAGCAACGTATGAGCATCGTAATCCAGACTTGTTTGTCACGCTCCATCATTCAGAGTGACGTGCAAAACGACAACTATTAAGAAAATATACACATGAATATATAACGACCGTTTCAATGGCTATAGTAAAGCAAAAACACATATAATACAACGCTCAGTATGGAAATTGGTGGGCAATGCATTTAAATGCCATTACACAAGTACAAACAATCCTTTTTGAGACAGGCACCCCCAGAAAATGAGCCATGACTTTCTGAACGGATCTATTCCGCATCAATAATTAAAACTCAAAAATATACTACTGTTGGTATACAGTATTCCCTCATTTTCCGCGAGGGATACGTTCCAGAGTTTCTAGCAAATAGCAAATTTCACGGATAATGAGATTGGCCTACAAAAACCTATATTTTTGGTTTTATGAATTTCCGTAAACAAATACATCACTTTATTGCTCATCACTTTATCTCATCCCTTCTCTCCCTCTCTCGATGGAGTCGTGTAGAGTTCCAGATACGATTCGCGGACGGCCAAAGATTGCGGGTAGCAAGTCCGTGAATACCGAGGAAATACCGTATCAGCGACGACGGGGCTGAGGCCGCATGAAGGCTCGATGCATGGGGGAGCAGCTCTACACAGTGAAGGCAGTGCTCATATTTCATCTGTCAAACGTGTGGCTTGAACCCGGGCTCTCTGAAGTGCTGGCTCAGTGATTTGACGTCGGCCAGCACCCGAAGGCACAGTCCACCCACTCGCATGCGCGTTACTTTCTGCCGCTGTTGTATTTTCACTTTTTTTTTACGAAGAACGACGAAAGCTAGCCCTGAACAAACAGTCTCCATTTAACAATTAGCATCCCCACAGTTTTGGATATCTGTCAGCCAGATTTTTTGGAGGCTGAGTTGAGCTAGTTATGCAAATCCCCATTATATGTGTGGAACTTCCACCTTATAGAGCAAAACGCTTGCCAGTAGTTGTTCGTAGATAAAGTAAAGAGCTGAACGATTTATTTTGGCCATTACGTACTCATATAAAGATTGTCATGTGCTCATCTCTGTTGGTGAAATTCCACATTCATCTGACAGGGGACCGGTCATTCCCTTGCACAGCCAATATTGACTTTCCATGAGGTAAACGCTTAGAGAGATGGTGGGCTGAGATTTGAATTGACCACTTTTTTTTGTGAGTCAAGCATTCTGCTATCGTGTCACCCTGTTAGATTATGGAGGTAAAGCGTGAGGACTCCCACCTACTCCGAGGTGTCTGGCCAGTGTGGCAGTGTAGGTCAAAGACGTCGAGAGGGCCTCTCTACATCTCCCTCGAGCTGAAGCACTTTCACCGGCAGTGATGCGGTACGCTGGTGATTGCAGGGCTGCTCCTTAAAACCTTTTCATTTAGACGACATCAGATTTGTGTGCGTGCGTGTGATATAACTAGAGTGTTTAACTTAAATCGTAATTCTTCATTGCTCTTATTCTACTGCTCCTGTGTGTGTTGTAGAAAAAAAATTATGCCTCCCTGGCACATCTTATTAGACCTGGCAATGACGTAAAAAAGATCACCAAAATCAAATTCCGCTCTCTGCGGAGAAGCGTGATTTATCGCGAAGTGAATAATGGATTGTTGAAGCTCTCATGCAGCTAGAGCAGTTCTCAAACTGGTACAGCGTGCTCCAATGATGTTAACAATAACTGCTAAGAGGACAAACATCTTAACATAGTTAAATAATACAGAATATTGTGAGTTGAGCTTTCTAAACACAGTGACAGACGGCCAACAAACTTGGGTCTAATGGCACCAGATACGTTAAATATGACGTGGAATTGCACTTAATGGACAGACATGTCAGTTTGTTATATTTCAGTTTCTACTTTGTATGCCTTCAAACTTGCCCGAGCGGTGATGTTGCAGAACAGCCGACTCGCAATCAGAAGGTTGAGAGTTCAAATACAGCCTATTGTCCTCCCACAGGCTGGAACGTGAGAAGTGAACGCCGTTCACTCTGTGGGGTGCTTGCCATCGGAATGCCTAGGGCTCAAAATATTAATATCCGTTATTGTGGAAAAATAACAAAATAAATACGCAGACAATGTCTCCTTTATATATCCATCTCCATACAAAAAAACTTATTTTTTACACAAACTAAGAGCTGAACGACCTTCTGGGAGTGAATAATTGCAGCAGCAATGATTTAAAGGGAACAGCAACTCTAGACCGGTTTTGACACGCAGTGTCTCACCAGCAGTCAGGCTTGCTTGAATCAACGCTGCTGAACCACCTATCACACCTCCAATTATCACGGTTGGCCACGTACAGTGCAAAAGAAGTGCAACATATATACACAACATCTTATAGGCAAGGACTCTCTTTACGTTTTATATAATCATTCGTACTTTGAATATTGCTATGTATATATTCAATACAGTTGTATTCATATATTTATCTATTGCTATTTTATTACATTGCAGGCTTAATATCTTCCTCTCGCGGTGGATTGGTCATGCCTGATTACGATGAAACATGATTTCTAGAATTTCTATGTTCAGTTACAATTGTATTATAAACGGTGTATATTTGAACAAAGAGTGCATAACCATGAAGGTCTCCCTCGGTCACGTCAATAAAGTGGGTCATTTCACCATACTTCGCCACGCTGGTTCGTGCCGATTGGTGAAGTGGGGGACACCCAAGACCAGTTCAGCTATCACGAACTACTGATGTTCACCGGAGCTGAGACTCAAACTCAGGCCATCGGGTTCACAGTGCAGTCTGCTAACCGCTTGACCGCTACTTTCCCAATGCGAACTGTATTTCAGAGTTTTAGAACTTACAGTCGCCCTTTGCTTGATAGCTACGCATTCAGGAATATTCAAGCATAAGAAGAGTTGCTTGCTCAAGCGAGGCTCTCGCTCTGCAGGTTTTGTGAGGCGTCTTCATCTGTGAGTGCATCAGTGAGTGAATGTGTGGGGAGGGTTGGCATAGTGGGTTTGTTGCCTACTACGATCCCAGTGACCTGAATGCAATTCCCGCCCATGCACATCGCCAGCGGCAAGCGGTACCTGAATCTGTTTTGGTCTTTTCTAGGATGACCCAGCTTTAAATGAGCACACGGTGCAGCATATAATTAGCACCGCCATGAGGACAAAGACAGAGTGATGTTGAGCTTGCCACACCACTTTTTTTTACGTGCCATGCCAGTCTTAATAGGAGCTCGCCAACAGCACTTGCCCGAGCGGTCCACAGATGGGATGAGGATATTTCGTACAGCATGTCTTTGTATAGACGTATTAGTGCTGTGTCAGTGCATGCATTTACAATTGCATATTTGTCAGTGTGCACTCCTTGCATGGAACACTCAGTTCCTATATCAAGTCCTGGCCACGAAAATGTCAACTTAATAAACAAAACTGTCACTTCCAGGTCGGATCCAGAGGAGGTCTCGACCATGAAAACAGGCGAAGGAGGAATGACGCCTGAAAGATACCCCTCCCTTAAGAGGAGTCGGAATACTCAACAAGGTGCATCTGCAGTCAGCCAGGACGCCAGCCTTTCCTGACAGCCCGTCAAGGAAAGCTGGGGGCAGCGGCTGTCTGAAACACTCTGCGCATGCAAAGCACACAAGGGGTGAAAGGCTTGTCTGTTCTCTGCTGAGAGTGCATCATTTGCACGAGCACTGTCTCTGTTAGGAAATACAAAGGAATATCACCGATGTGTCAAGGGTGCACGTATGTCTCGTGCGCGAAAATGTGCGTGTATGTGTGGAGCGATGGCGCAGTGGTTAGTGCATTTGCGCTACAAATCTGGCAGCCTGAGGTCAATTCTGAGTCACAGATATCACTCAATGGTGATATTCTAAATCATCCTGGGGCTTCCTCTAGGTCAACTTAGCCACCGCACATAAGTGTCTGGTGCAGTGTGTAAACACAAGCAGTGGGAAAACAAAAGTGTTCAGGTGTGATGCTGGCCACACCATCCTATCGCGTGCTGTGTTGACTATGATGAGACGTTGCTACTCACAGCGCTTACCCGAGCAGCCTGCAGGGCTATATTGGGAATCGCTGTGTGTAGGTTATTTGTCAGTGTGTTTGTTTGAGATATGATGGAAAGGCTAGGAGACGTACGTGTGTGTGTGTACGTCAGTGTATTTGATGGGTTATGTGCGTGTGCGTGCGCGTGCACATCGCAGCTGGGAAAAATGTCTCAAACGTCAACATCAAAAATGATCTTGGCTGTCACAATTTAATTTTCTTACCAACGGTAGCAATTTATTTGCGGCCCGTGCCAATGGACAGAAGTCAAAGTGTCTTCATGCTCAAACGAGAATGGGAGCAACGCTTATCACCAAGCGTGACCCTGAACCGGTATCATGGATTCTATATTCCTATGGCAGGGGCCAATATTAATACAGGGCAACCAAAATTGTCTTCTCACAAAGTGATTCTCATTATCCCCGTGAATATAAACGGCGAAGGGAACTGTTGGCTGGATTTAAACTT